GTCCCAAACCAGAGTAGACTAGAATAGACCAAATCAGGTCAGACTTGGATAGTTATAAAAATACAAAGCAATCAGCCTAGATCAGACCAGCAAACTACAGTCCTAGTAAAAACATCCTAATACGTAGCTATATTAAATTAAATTCAAAGTTATGCATCGACAAATGTGAAAGCCAAACTATTACAACTATTAAAGAACGGATGATGTTACATAATCCAAAAAGAATTAGTAATATACTTTACAAAATGGTGCACAAGAGCATCTATCTCTGGCTAGCTTGACTTTATACTCCTCTTGACTTTTATTGCAAAAATTACTCCGTATTACTTTAGCAATTCTCTTTTGACAAATCTGGTTTCTCAAGAAAACTAAGAAGCACGTACTTGATTAGATTATTAGAGTACGTAAGTAACTACGTACGTAAGCTATGAGGTATTTTGATCATATCCTTCCACGGTCCCACTTATTTATAAGGTAATTAACCCGGCCAATTAATTAAGTATCGTCAATTAATTACTACGTATATGAGTTGAAGGTGAATAAAACAGAAACAGGCAGAAAAGACATATAAATGGATTCAAGGGCGGTGGTTTTCGGTACTGTTTTAGTATTCACTTTAGGTCTGGCTGTCGACGCTGCTAGAACGTTCAGGGTATTCAACGTTATCTCTTATGGTGCAAACCCTGATGGAAAGACTGACAATAGTAAGGTGAGTGTAAATGTCCAATATCAAAAGTTATACTTTTTGCGTATATGTAATAAATAGTTATAAATAGGTAAGTCTAAACTTTGTGGAGTTCAATAATGGGTTTACGTCGCAGAATGTGTTTTTGTTTTGAAGGTCATTTTGCACTTCGTATTACTTTTTCAGAACACAATTTCGATCATAAGTACTGGTTTTTAGAATTCATATACACCCCAACAGGATTTTTTTTTTAAAATAAAACGATCAACAGGAATTTTTTTTAAAAATAAAACGATTTTTTTAGATCCTACGGTACACTGACTAGCATTAGAGAAAAGTAGTATTAATAGTCTCAATATCTTGTATACCAAATATAATTAAACCAAACAATTAGCTTTGTATCAAATAGTTACCAACTTGTACTTTCAACCTTTTTAGTTACCAAAAGCTAACAAATACGTCTTGAAACTTTGTTCACGAGTGTATGTATATTCTGTTTATGAAAGAAATGGTATGGTACCAATTCAACCAGAGTTAATCACTTTCGATTATTTACTTTCCAATATTTCCATCATAAGATTCATAACGATTTTGTTGGATTTGGAGCGGGACGTCAAAGCTGGTAAATACAATCTAGCTAGCGGAATAACGGAAAATTTGAAAAAACCCAGTTTGACCAATAAGGGAACCAGCTCGGGAACCTTAGAGAGCACATTAACACATACTCCCTAAATCGTACGAGTATATACTATCAATATAGTAATAAATATACGAGTAATCAAAGAATATCTTATTTTTAATTAGCAATTGATGAGTCAAATGAATGAGATTTTTTAACATTATTTCCAGCGTCATGGATGAGATTATCTGACGAATACATTAAATTACTCGATGAATAACACCAAATGTTCGACTTTGTGAATGAAAAAAAGAAGTAAAATTCCTCGAGTAGGCGTAAAAATGTGTGAGAATTACAAAATATAACTCTTTTGTTTTTTATTCCTTAAATATGAGTAATTAATGTTAACTTTGGAGACTATTGTCATGTTTAAAGACTAGTACGGCCAAACATTGCAATAAATGCTCTCATTTAGAAAAATAAGAATATGATAGTTCTATTTTGAAATACAAAAACATTTGCACCCCTGTTTAGGATTAGAAAAAAGCACCCAAATCCAATTCCCAAACACCCGTAAAGGAACTTAGGCTTTGTTTGCAAACACTACTCCCAAGTGTTTTTAACTTTTTAAAGTGATTTGGGGAAAATTGATTAATAGTAAAAGTTGGTAATGTTTGAGAAAAAAATGATTTTGAAAAGTAAAAGTTGGTAATGTTTGGTAAAATAAGTGATTTTTGTGTAATAGAAAAAGTAAAAAGCATTTTTTAATTGCACAAAATCCGAGAAAAGTTTTTTAAGTAGAAGTTATTACTTGAAAACACTCTTTTTAGCTTTTTTAAGCCAAAAGCTGGAAAATTCGTTTTTTCCAGTATTTGCAAACAAAGCCTTAGTAATTCCATTTGTTGATTATGTATGTAACAATATTTCTCCAGAAACAGTGAACACCTCGACATAGTATGCGTTTGTTTTTTTTTCAAAATTTCTTCTGTACGTAGAGTTACAATGAGAATTTGATCTTACCAAACACAATATTCTTATTTTTTGACGTTTACAATTCTTATTTCTTGAAGGCATTCTTGAGTGCTTGGAATGATGCATGTAAGTGGAAGGGTAAAGGTATACCAACCGTATGGGTACCCCAAGGGGCGTACATGGTTAGTGTCGTACAATTTAAGGGACCGTGCGAGGGTCCCATGACCTTCAGTATCCAAGGGCTACTTAAGGCTCCAACGGACCCTGAGTTGTTCAAGGGGGACACGTGGCTCGTCTTCCAATACATTCAAGGCTTGGTGCTTGAAGGGGGAGGGACTTTGGACGGACAAGGGGCCTGTGCTTGGCCCTTGAATGATTGTAACAAAAATCCCCAATGCGTTAAACTTCCCATTGTAAGTTTCTCATAACTAACATATTTATGCCCCTTATAACCACACAAATGTATCAGTTAGGGCTAATATGTTATATGTCTTATCTAGTTCATGCACTTCAAATTTCAATGAAAAATTCAATTGGAAAGACAGATCATATATTCACGTATACTTGAATCATCGAATAGACCGGAACAATGGCAAAAATGTATAAACAGACTTTTTAGTATAGATCTGATTATATCCAAAAATATAATTGCAATTCTAAGTGAGCCAAAACATTCTAGGCCGGGAGAGTCATCTGGCCATTAAGAAGTTTTACAAATTGAAAGATTGGTAGTGAAGAGTTTCTTTTAAAAAACTTAAGTTATCTTTTAATATAATCAAGTATACAACGTATACCGAAATTCTTGTATAACCATTTCATGTAAGATATTAATTTCGACTAGCTTGAAATGGAGCATCCATGCCGCTTAAGTATTTTGTGAGTTAGTTTTTAATAATTAAACCTTTTTTCCTGTTCATATTTCGGTTAATTATACGGAGTACAAATTATATATTTGAAATTCATTTGAATCCACTCAGATCATCTGAAAAAATCTACATCCGACACATGCTAGAACTTAGAGAGTAGCATATATTCAATCTATTTGATTTTGTATTAATCTGTAAAGATTAATAAGTTCGACACACCATAACCATGAATCCATTAGTTTACAAACTAATTAATCCTAACTAAAGTCGATCTTTTTATTAATCCGAATTATCAACTCTCAATTTTTGGAAGATATAGAAATATTTTTATATATTTCCAAACTAAATTTTTAAACATGAAAAAATATTTACGAAAATTTACAAATGTACTAAAATTAAATTAAAAAAAAATTAGTCACTTTTTATTTATTTTCATTAAAATTTCATGTTTCCTTTTTCCAATTTTTTTTCATAGTTGTGTTAATATGATTATATATTATTTTCTTTTATTAACATTTACATTTTCTATTTTCAATAAGTAAATTGTGATTAAAAGTTTTACAATTTAGATCTTTATTCTAGTTTAATTTTAAAAACTAAATTTTGTATTTATTCTATTTTAGTATTTTTAATTTCTACCAATGTAAAAATGTGAATCACTTGAAATGACGATAGAAAAATGTTTACCAAAATCGATCGATTTGACTCGATCTGATATCATGTTAAGACCTGAAGTTTCATCCTAAAAGGCAACCTGTTAAGAGAGGTAGCTTAAATCTTAATATAACAACATTCTATTACTTCTTAATTTACCGTATGAGACGTTAACAATTATCTAGAAAAAAAAATAGCATGTCGGAAGATTGACCAATGCGAAAAGGAACAGACAAGTTAAACAGTCCAAAAATGTATTGTCCCACCTAAAAGAATGGCTCAACATTGACTATTATGGAGTAAATTTACGTTGAAATTGTCAGATCCCTAATTAGGCTTTTTTTGTTTCTACGGAGTTTGTAATATGCCAATACGGCACTTAATGCGGGATTGCAAGTTAAAGTATGGTTTGTGTCGTTTTACATCTTTTACTCTCTATTTGAGTGAAAGTAAAAATGATGAGGTTGTTTGGATAACACTTGTTTGCCCCAAAACACTTCTTCTTTTTCAACAGGAAACGAAAAACACTGCTAATTTTGCCTCCAGCCCGCTAGAACACAAACACCCCCAATGTGATTTCAGTTTGATCTTATATTATTGTGACAAACAACTCTACAAAATAATCTATTTTACCTAATGATTCTTTTAAAAATAATCAATTTCATCACCAGTTATATTGATAAATAATCTCATGAACGTATATGCATAGAGATATACGAGACATTTTCCCTATACCCTTAAAGTAACCTCTTACACTCTTTTTTCATCTAAGAAATTTACGTTAGTACATGCAATACTCCCAATATAACTTTTGTACCAAATATAACTTTTTCGGCCTTTTATATATCTAGACAATGTATTTACCTGGATATACGTTAATAACTGTAGAAAAATACGTTAAAAAGTAAATAATCGAGTCCAATCCATTGATCCAATAATGGGTGTAATATATAAGCAATCTCCATCTATTATTCAATCATATCAGCCAAATTTTGTGCATATTGTTCCAAAAGGGTCTAATTGGTGAAGTTTGGTAATCAATTACTACGTATAAATAAAATATACGTGTGATCAAATACTTTGTGATGAATATTTATGCTACGTTATATATGTCATCTGTACAGTCGTTGAGGTTCGACTTCGTGAGCAACGCCATCGTGCGGAATATCCATTCAATCAATAGTAAGAACGCCCATATCAACGTCTTTGCTTGCAATGACATGCTGTTTAAAGGCGTGAAACTAACCGCCCCGGGCAACAGCCCGAACACCGATGGCATCAAAATCGGGGCATCAAAAAACATCCAAATCTCTCGGTCAGTCATCGCCACCGGGGACGATTGCGTAGCCATGGTCTCGGGCAGCCAGAAGATTGGCATCGACAATGTGGCATGCGGTCCGGGTCATGGTATTAGTATTGGAAGCCTAGGGAAATCCAAAGATGAATTTGTGAGTGATATACATATAAGACGTTGCAGTTTGTCGGGTACCCAAAATGGATTAAGGATCAAGACTTGGGCGGACTCCTTTCAGGGCAAAGTCAGCAATGTTATTTTTGAGGATGTTGAGATGAATAATGTCAATAATCCCCTTTTCATTGATCAGCAATATTGTCCTTCTGGGCATTGTAGCTCTGAGGTATGTATGTTTCCTATGCTATTTAAGATTTAATTGGTTTGAAAAAACTACACTCTATTCAAATCTTAATATAAATTTTATAGTTTGACTTTTTAAATCAAAATATTCAAATTTAAGGAATAAATGTTCACATATTATTTTTTAAAAAAATCACATAGTATACTCGGTATTACATTATTAATTATTACAAGAAAGTGAGAAACTACATTCGACCGATTTGATTTCATGCGTTTTTTATTCTAAAAACTGTTGAATTTGTATATAGCTATACTATATATGAGTATTACGTAGTACTACTCCATCTTGCTAAGATTGTCTCATCTTTCCTTTTCGATCCGTACCACTAAAATTGTCTTATACTAAATTTAATTGGTAAAGTTTAATTGCATGGTTCTAAATTTAATGAGGATGATGTTGGCCAGACTGCTAAAATCCTCATGAACATTGGAACGTATAATAATCATACACCAGACTTTAAAAAAAACACAATTAAATAGATTAAATCAAATCAGACTAGACCAGAAACTTTTCAATGCCAGTAAAAATATATGTATATCCATCTACTTGAGCTTTTTTCTATTGTTACCTTATTAAGGATGTTTTCTTTTGGACTGTTTTCAGTCCCAGACCAGACTGTATCTTATCAGAAAAGACCAGACTTCTGTAGTTATAAAATACATAGAGACTAGACATTTTCCAGACCAAACCAGACCAGCAAATTTCAGTCTAAAAGAAAACGTCCTAAGTACTTATTTTAGAATGAAATGAACTTCAACATATTGTTATTCATATATGCATGGCAGAGCACATCGTCGGTCGAAATAAGAAACGTGACATTCAAAAATATATGGGGGACGTCGAGTTCAAGTGAAGCTGTCATTATGGATTGCAGTCTAACAAACCCTTGCCAAGACGTTAAGCTTGTCGACATCAACTTGGATTACAGTGGCAATGGCGCGACCATTTCCCAATGTTCCAATGTTCATGGGAATGCTGATGGAGAACAACGCCCTCCGGGCTGTCTTCACTGATCCATCAGCTTCCCTATGTTCCGATGTTCATGAGGATGCTGTTGGCCAAGAACTCCCTCTGGACTGTCTTCGCTCATCCGTCACCTTTGTTAGTGTATATCCCTCCCAGCTAGCTAGTTCTTTTATATTCCTATTTCAGGCATCCTTACTTATTATATGTAGTGATGATGGCCGAATACGTACGTCGTCGCTGTCATTATATTGCTCCACTGTGAAGAGAGAATACTTAATTACTCCATATTATTATATACTCCGTATTGAGCTAATATTTCTTGGCCCTAATAAACTTTCTGTTGAATAAACACATCTGCATGCGGCATGCCCAACTTCTATTCCTCGATCTCGTATTTTATTCACTCCCGCGAAAATGACTACTTTCGCCGGTAATTTATACCCTACAACCGACTGTACCTAGAGGATGATACAATCGAGATTTTTTGTAATAAGATCAAAGTTAAAGGCTAAGAGATATGCTTCTCCTGTGCTCCGCTCCACTTTCTCTTGTTCTCGTTTGTGCCGCTTCAGACACTCTTCCTTGTTTTACTTTTTGTATTTTCTTTTTTCTTTTGTTTTATACGTACCTACGTTTCTAGGTTGCAGCCTTTTAGTCTTTTACTTGTTTCTTTCTTTATTCAAGGACCTTTTTCTTGAGGAAAGGATGTAATTACGGGATTTTTTTGATCTCATTCCCAAACTACGAATGTCAGAAATAGGATACAATAATACGGGAAACGGGTAGTGAAATCAGACTTTTTGTAGGGTTGCATGCGGGTGCTTCCAGCTTTCATTAGTGCCTTTTTTTTTAATATAAGTGGAGCATGTGTGTAACGCCCCGAAATATGGTCTAGTAGTTAAGATACATACGAAAAAAACCTAATCAAATTTAACATTTTCTCTGACATATATAATTTCTAAAGTAGTTTTATTTAAAAGAGCATTAATAATAAATTGATGCTAAAATAATAGTTCTAAACTACACGGCAGAAGCTATCCTTTAAACACTTTTCTTGTAAATCCTATTTGTTTGATTTTTCTAGGCTGATTACATTTAATTAGAAAAATAATCGTTTCCCAAATAGTTTCATACTATTATGATAAGCAAGTAAGACAACGTACTCTAATTTATTAAAATAGTAACCATCTTAATTTATTAGAGATAGGCAACCACCTAAGGTCAATTCACATGAGATATTTTACACCAAAAATAATTAGGTATGGGCAGCAACCTCTATTAATAGTTATTCAAATAATTATGTTTGCCAAGCATTTTGTCTACTATACGGATGATCAAGACTATATATATGTACCCTTAGTTATCTCAAAACTTTATAGACATACCATATGCATGCGGCCACCCACTATAAAAAAAATACCTAGTATATATTAAGTAAGAAAGAGTTGAGCATATAGAAGAGGTAGAAACGAGCTCAAGGAAAATAGCTTCTGATCGACCCAAAAATCATTAAGGTTCCGTATATAAGGTCAGTACTTCTGACCCAGTCTCATTTAAAGTATAATTTCCATCCCCGTTTCATGTTAAGCTATGAGGATGATGAATTTCATATAGCCTTAGAATATTTTATATTAGTATTCAGTAAATACATGTTAAGTTATACATGATGAATATATTGTATGTTCTTTATCTTATAACTTAGAACTGGTATTCGGTAAATACATGATACTAGTTGCGTTCTAAAAGAGAAAAAAATATGTAAAACTTTAATTAGCAGATCGAACTAGCTAGAGCCTGGCAAAAATAAAATCTGGAAATTCTAAATTGAATTAGTTACTAGGTAGAATGGCTTAAGCTAGATAATTATGTATATTAAAGTTGTTGTTATATATTACTACGTATATGACAATTAGATGGCTAAATATATATATATATAACTTAAAAACCGATTAAGTTGTACACTTACGATACATATATACATGTATCTATACTCCCCGTAAAGATTAGAAATATAGCTAAATACATATATGATTAAGTAGTTACCCTATGAATTATAGTAGGACATGTGGTAATACGTACATGCTCTCTGATATATGAGTATTTACATATTCATATAGTTAGCACTTATTAACTAAAATATGTATATGTCGTGATATGTAAATATAGATATACTCCCTCCGTTCTTTAATATTAGTCCTCTTAGGCTTTGGCACGGGTTTTAAGAGGAAAATAATAGGAGTAGTGTAAAAGGTGTAATGAGTAATGGGTAAATGAAAAAGTAGGAAAGAGAAGGGGGTAATGATAATAAAAGTGGGGGTATAAAGGTATATTGATTGTAAAAACTTTCCTTAAATAGAAAGGAGGACAAATAATAAAAAACAACCCAAAATGGAATGGAGGACTAATAATAAAGAACGGAGGGAGTATATGTGAATGTTTGGTTGGTTAATTGGTTGGCTAAAATTATATGTTATCCAATAGGATATATCTCATAATTGCCTGAGTTTGTTAGTGTGAATAGTTAATAGGAAAAATAAGTCAGATATAGCTATGTATGCATTATGTGATGATTATTTCAATTAATGATATGAATATTTATTAAGTGTTTCACACGATTTTTGAATAAATTTAAATAAACCATTTTTTAATTAACTTTTAACGTTTTACATTACTCCGTAAAAGTTATTGAGTTAATAAAATAAAATAAGAATAATTTCAAGTCTTAAGTTATAGATTGCTATATAGACACATATTGCACATTCAAGAAAAAGACTCATTGACCGAACATAAAGGAGTTCAAATAATTAATATGATTATTTGGTTATAAATGAACTTAAAAGATTATTATTTACTACGCCTTGCTCTTGATCTGGCACTCTGACACGAATACTCCTGATATGTTCTGTTTAGTGTACTACGTACACTCCTAAAATTCTGTTTTAGAGGAATTAGTGTTCTCCTGTTTAGTGTACTATGTACACTCCTGAAATCTTTTTAGAGCACTATTACTCTTCTGTTAAGGTTCGAGTCTCTTCGGTGATCTCGTCCTTTCTGTTCAGCTAGCTTCTGTTAGGGATTGGTACGTGTAGCCCCGGCGATTACGTTTCCACATCCTTTCTGGGTAATGTGGGTACAGACTTCGTGACTGTATTCCTTACCGTTAGTATTTCGCTGTCTAGGTCCAGTTTCTTGAGTTTAAGGCTAAATGAATATGTTTTTATAAATGATCAGTTTCAGAATAAGTATTATCTCATAATTATGATATCTGGATATGTTTCTGTTCAGTACACACACTCAAAAATATTCCCAGAATAAAGATTATCTGATGCTTAAGATATCTGAATATGTTTCTGATCTGTATATGAATATTTTGATTCTCATAACAGTTATTCGGCTCACTCAGGTATGTCATATGTTTGTTTGACTAGATGCTAATTATGTTATGTTGCTATTTGAATTAATATGTGATTATTATCGTCATTATTGTCATGATTATTGTTATTGTTATTTGTACCGTACCACTCAGCACATTGCTGAGCGGGTAGTTGTTTGTTTTTCCTACCCGTAGGTTGAAGTAGATTCAGCTAAGATAAGGATGCTGGGATGGAAGGAGGCGTAGGATTCATGTGCATACCATTTGTGTATTGTTTATAAATAAAAAAATAAGAAGCAAGTTTGACTTTAAACTGATTTGATCATTTTCATTTTGTAAACGCTTCCGCATATCTTGAAATAATTGTGTTGTATAATATTAAGTAATTTACCGTGACTTAATATTTTCAGGTATTGATTAATTAGTTGACATTTGAATCAAAATGTTTTATTAAAATACTTAATTTTGTTTTAAATAATTAAAAGACTTTTGGTTAAAATCTGTTTAACTCCTACAACGTGACACACCGCTCGGGTCGGCAGGGCCGGTTCGGGTAGGGTGTTACAATGTGTGGGGACAAGGAAAGTCGGATTACTCAAATCCGTATTAAGCATTTATTGTTGATTCAAAGCCTATGAATTACTATACAAACATATGTGATATGTAGGGAAGAAGAGAGGCATTTACTCTATATTTTTATTGATAACCATTAGGCTTTATATAGCCTTTACAAAGATGAATTGAACCAAGCACGTATAACAACTAGTTCCTAGAATTAAGGCTAGCCATATGAAAATAACGTGGATAATAGATGACTTGATCAAATGCTAAAAACAAGCTAACCAACTTCTACGCATGACTTATTCAATAAACATAATAATAAAGAATAAACAAAGCAATATTCCACGTGTGCATGGCCTTGAACTCCTTCGCATGCAAGCTTGATCATACTTTCAACACCTCCCCTTGATCCAAGCTTGTCATTCCAATCCTTTCCATGAAAAACTGATGCTTAACTTGAGTCAAAGCCTTAGTGAATAGGTCTGCATTCTGAAGCTCAGTTCCACAGAATTGCAGATCTATTTTCTCCTCAACTACAAGCTTCCTAATGAAATGATGTTGCACATCTATATGCTTTGTTCTAGCATGAAATGCTAAGTTCTTTGCCATTGCAATTGTGGACATGTTGTCACACCAAATCTCTGGAATTTCTTGTTGTTCACAGCACAAATCCTTTAGTAACTTCTTCAACCATAATGCTTGTTTTGCTGCAGCTCCTGCAACAATGTACTCTGCCTCAGAGGTAGACAAAGCCATTGTATCTTGCTTCTTTGAACTCCATGTAATAGCTCCAGAACCAAGGTCAAACACTGAGCCTGAGATGCTCTTTCTATCATCAACACAACCTGCCCAATCACTATCAGTATAGCCTCTGAGTTTAAAGTGTTTTACACTTTCATACTATACTGCAAACTCAAGAGTTCCTGCCACATATCTCAGAATCCTTTTGGCAGCACCAAAATGTTGCTTAGTAGGACAATGTATATACCTAGACACAACACTAACACTGTGTGCAATGTCAGGTCTAGTGTGTGTTAGGTAGTTTAGTCCCTCAACTAGGCTTCTGAACAATCTTTCATTTGCTTTCTCGGTTCCATCACATTTCTGCAGCTTCTCATTGGTATTCATAGGAGTCTTAGCAATTTCACAATTCTCCATATGAAACCTTTTGAGCAAATCCATAGCATACTTTCTTTGACACAAGAAAGTTCATTCCTTCTTTTGTTTTACTTACATGCCAAGAAAGTATTGCAGGACACCTAGGTCAGTCATTTCAAACTTCTGCTTCATTGAATTCTTGAAATCTGCTAGCATACTTTCTAAGGAGCTAAAGTATACTATGTCATCAACATAAAGGCAAACAATAATGAACTGAGCCTTACCTTGCCTCTTTATGTAAAGTGTTAACTCATTATCACTCCTAATGAATCCATTAGTAATGAAAAAAGAGTCAATCTTACTAACCATGCCCTTGGAGCCTGCTTTAAGCCATAGAGTGCCTTTTTCAGCTTGTACACCTTTTCAGGTTCATTCTTCTTCTCAAAGTCCTGTGGTTGTTCAACAAACACCTCCTCCTGAAGTTCTCCATTTAAGAAAGCTGACTTCACATCTAACTGGAACACAGGTAGTCTCCATTTAAGAAAGCTGCCTCACCCCAGAATGAGTTAGGCAGCCCTTTAACCTTCATCATACACCTAGCCATTTCAACAATGGTTCTGTTTTTCCTCTCAGCTACCCCATTTTGCTCAGGGGTATATGGTGCTGTAAGTTCCCTTCTAATCCCCTGATCATTACAGTATTGATTAAACTCTTTGGAGACAAACTCTCCACCCCTGTCAATTCTTAGGGCCTTCACTTGCAGTCCACTTTGCTTCTCCACCAATGCCTTAACTTCTTAAAGTTCTCAAAAGACTCAGATTTAGTCTTTTGAAAGTACACCCATGACATCCTACTGAAGTCATCAGTGAGGAGAAAGAAATATTTACTTCCTCCTAATGATTTAGTTTGCATGGGGCCACACAAGTCAGCATGAATTAACTCCAAGCACTCACTAGCCCTCCAAGCCTTGCCACTTGGAAATGAGCCTCTAGCTTGCTTCCCATACACACGCCCTTCACAGAACTCCAACACCCCAATGCTAGGTAGTCCATGCACAAATTCCTTTGAACTTAGCAATTGTAAGCTGTGATTGTTAAGATGCCCATATTTGAGGTGCCATAGTTTTGCATTTTCATCTCCTTTCACCACAAGAGCTTGGCCTGCATTTCTGGTTAGGTCCAATGGAAAGACCTTGTTCTTTCCCATTGGTATCCTCATCACCACTTCATTTTGCTTGTTATCTTTGATAATACACATACCATCCTTAAATAGGATTCTGTAGCCACCACATATAAGCTGACCCACACTTAACAAGTTATGGGCCAGGTTAGGAACATACTGCACATTATGCAGTAATTTGGGCTTTCCTTGCTTAGTTAGAAGCTCAATTGTTCCATGTCCTTCAACTGAAAGCTGCTTGCCATCTCCAAGCCTTACCATACTCTTCTTAGAGTCATCTAGGTCCATAAACATGTCCCTAGAACTGGTCATGTGGTTTGAGCAACCACTATCCACATACCAGACTGTTTTTGCTCCATAGTCACAATTATGTTGAGCAAGGAAAAGGTTTTCATGCTCAGCATAATTAGACTTACTCTCATTTTTTCCTTCAACTTTATCCTATTCTTTCTTTCAACATGAGGCCTCCTTATGACCTGGCTTGTTGCAGTAATAGCATTTGATGGGATTCTTGTAATTGCTCCCAGTTGGCTCCTCCTTTCTCTCAGGAGTGTAGCCTCTGCCTCCTCTGCGACGACCTCTACCTCTATTACTTTCTCTACCACGACCTCTTCCTCTTCCTCTTGAAGATTGTTGAGTCCTATCATGGTGAGAAGTGTCAGCTTTACCTTGAAAAGCTGTCTCATCCCTTTCTTCCTCTTTATCTTCCCTTTCTTCATAGGCCTGCAAAGAACATTTGAGTTCATCAAAGGTGTATACCTCCATGTCCTTAGACTCCTCAATAGATTCCACAAGATGAGAGTACTTCCTTAAAAGACGCCTCAGCACCTTACTTATCACTTGTTTAGATTTAACCTCCTCTCCATAGGATCTCATCTTCTGCACAATTGATGTGATCCTAGAGAGGTAATCATTTGCAGTTTCTTTATCCTTCATCTTGGCATTCTTAAATTCCCTTCTTAGGGATTGCAGCCTGACCTCAATGACCTTCTTATCTCCCTTGTATTCCTTCTGAAGAATACTCCAAGCTTCCTTGGATGTTGAGGCTGCAGCAATCCGGGGAAAGACCTCATCATCCAAAGCTTGTGGAATGAAATAAAGAGCCATTACATCCTTCTTTCTCTTATCTCTCAAGGCTTGATCTGGTTCCTCTGGTTGGCCATCTTCAAACCCTTCATCAACAATGCTCCATAGCTCTTGAGACTTGAAGAGAGTCTTCATCTTCATACTCCAAAAGTGGTAATTTGAATCCTTGAACATAGGTGATATTCGTGTAATTTCTGATTGTATGTTTTTATTTTTAACTAGTTTTTATTAGTTCTAGTTGTGGAAATTACACACTTTTGGTGTAATATTTTATTTTCATTTTTATTTGTAATTTGTTTAGATTAGGATTATTCTGAGCTTAACAGGTCAAAGATCATCCAAGGGATCAAGATTGGACCTTAAAAGATCAAGGAAAGTGCAAGGAGACAAGAAAGATTTTGATGAAAACGGTTAGCAACACAAGAGGGGGAGGGTGAATTGTGTGTGTGTGGAACCGTGACAGTTTTTCGCCGAGTTCTAGTGTGGGATAAAGGGAATTGCTAGATAGTAAAGTGCACAAGAATTTAACGAGGAAAAATCCCTTGGCTCAAAGGGATTAAAAAACCTCGACCTCCCGTGGAGGAATTTTAAACAACTTCACTAAACAAGCCTTTGAAAGAGTTACAAGAGTGATTCTCCTAATCTACCCTTGAGCCTCCCCAACTCTATCCTCTCTAGGAAGAGTTATGCATCTCTACCTTGCGGGTAGAGAGCCTCTCAGCTTTATCACAAAGCTCTCACACACACTTAACCCGAGACAGTTACTCTAGCCAATTAAGCCTCAATATTCCAAGTACAATATGAAAGGGAAAAGAAAACTCTATCTAGAACTCCGCGAGCAGTTTCAGGCGCCAAGGACTTGATCCTTTTATTGAATGATTCTTCTAAGTATTGTTCTCGGTTCAGCACACCTCTCTCCTTTTGGTTGCTCGAATATATATGCTGCTTGGAATGAATCCGTTGGGGCTCACTTTCCTTGAGTAGATCAATTTTGAATTACCTTCCTTGGTTACCAATTTTTTATTTAGCAAGAGGTATTTCGTTAGTCAAAAAGATATCAAGAAATTAAGCACATTTATTATAGAGACTACCTTAACAAGGAAGTAGTTCATTTTCCTATTTAAGGAGAGCAACGGGTCATATTTTAAAAGCCATCATTCCATTCAAAATATCTAGTCTTTGATTGGTATAGTATCCTTCCATAAATGGAGCAAGTATTTATTCAAATCATGTGATATTTCAAAAAGTATCTTTCCTCAAATCATGCCACGTTCATTAGTTGTTTGAAAACAATTGCTTTCCTTAAAAGTGTATTAATTAAAGACCTTT